AAATATCTGGCTTATAAGGTGTTTAGGTTTTTTATATTGCTTTCATACTTCTAAAGGGCCTTCCATTTATCACGTGGAGATTTACTACCAGCTACCAGGAAGTCTGAACATTATATTAAAGTGCATATTTTCCTATATGCCTGATTTCTCAAAATATGCTTAAATGGCAGATCTATACAGAGGTTAAGTGAAAGTATTTGAACATAAAACTCACTTTGTAAAAATTACCAACTATCTAGCCTAAAGTCTCAGATAAAACATGGCCAGGATCCCCCTGAGGAAAGCCAGCAAATTCCTAGAATTCTTCAGAGGGGAAAGGTTACAGAAAACAGACCCATGAGAGGCAGTTTTATGTAAATAATGAACAGTAGTTTTCAATTATTAAAAAGAGAAATAGACAGAAGGAAAGAAAACCCCCAAAACAAATATGAAATGTTTTTTCCAAGGAAAACCTGTTTCATAGCACTCAGAAATAAAACTTGCAAGGAGCTAAAATACAAAGCACCCTTTTACTTCTCCCCACAGCTCCTTGCATATAGATGCCAAAATTTTCTAACAGAAACCCAGGCAGCTAAAACTTAACTTAGAGACCCACATCCTGGTTCAGCAAAGTTGTTAATCCATACACACACAATGAGACCACCTTGTTGGCCTGAATCCCTTAGCTATTGCTGCCTACACAGACCCTCTGGTCATTTGTATTTGGGTATTCTAAAAATCAATTTAGAAGCAAGTATTTTTGGATGTAAAGTGTATCTTTTTTCCTGTGAATTCTTGCTTAGGCTAAAAATAATACTGTACCCTAAAAGTGCATGCCTAAGTACATTACCGTGGATAGTAAAATTGCTTTAACATACAGTAATGCAAGATGACATTTCCATAGTATTCTAATGCATTTTAAAATAAGTTTTGCCCTTTTTTGAATACACACCAGTCATTACATGACACATTACACAGAACTTCAAGTGCTTTATTTGGTAATACTTATACTATATCTAAATATTTTCTCACCACACACATAGAAACATGCATTGCAATTTATCAAAACATACCCAGATTCACTCATATTCCCATCTACAAATATAACAATAGAATATCTTAAAAGAAAGGAGGTAAAAACCAGCCAAACCAGTATATCATGTCTGAAATGTGATGTGGGTTTTTTTACAGTTAAGAAAAAGGCTCTAAAAACTCCTTTCAATTACAAGAAGATGTTCTTAATCCTTTAAAACCAGGGGAAGAGAAAAGAAACTAAACATATATATATATTCTGAAAAATAGACAAAAAATTCTGGTAACTTTTTTTTTTTCCTCCTCAATCATGGTCATACATTGTAAGAGGCTTCCTGGACAACAAAAGAAGAAATAATCCCAGATGCATTATTTTCCTTGGTTTGATTTCTATGAGAACATCTGCACATCAATGAGAATTAACACAGGTGTAAATTTAGGGATGGTTTTAATGCTCCCAAGATTAGAGTCTTTCTGAACAGAGATTATGGAATATGCAGTGTGGTTTCCTAGACCCTCCTCTCTGCAAAGCTCATGTTCCCAGCAGTTCATTGTCAGCAAACACCTCCAGTGTTGTCTGAATTTCATAACGTATTTTGAAAATTCAATAACACCTATTTTTTTTCCATCATGCATGCATACATTTAATAGAGAAGGTAAACCCTTCTTTGTACATTAGAAGTAACCATCATGCCACATTTTTTAGCAGAACTGGCAAACTGATAATCATTCAGCAGATTCTGAATCTAGGTCTGGAAGAAAGTCATCAGAAAACAAATAAATCAACAAAATAAACAGAACTACAAATTTGTTCTTTTTTATCCTTGGTTAACATTATCACCCTTCCTACAAGACAAGGACAACAGACCATGGCAGCAAGGTGGACAGTGAGCCCTCTTCCATGACTAGGCAAGGCTCAGCCCAGTGTGACTGGATGGGAGGAGGCATCTACCAAGGCATTCAACTTTGTTCCCACCACACCAACCATGTTGAAAGAGGCACCACAGGGGAGCCCTACAGTGGCATGACTATTGCTTAGACCATGCTGCCTTCAGTGAAGAGATGTTGTATGTTTTCTCATGTGTGATATCCTTAAAAGCATGACCAACAAAAAGTAATAATGAAAATCGCAAAGCTCCATATATAATTAAAAAAATGAGGATTTGCAATAATAAAGGTGTGATTAAATTTACAGCAAGTAACAAGCAGGATGTTGATGTGACTAAATCACTCAGAGGGTGAGGAAACACAAATTACATGGTCCTGAATGCAGCCATGACAAACCACCTCCACAGCAATTTCAAATAGCAGACACAAACCCAAGTGTTTCCTTGGCTAAGATCAGACTTGACCACATACTTTACTGATTTACTGTCCAAATTTACTAGTCCAAATTTGTCCATAAGTTAATGGGTATAATCACTCTTTCTCACTTCAGTAGTTTTTCTAGAAACTAAGCTGATTAATAAGGATATATAAAAATATAAAAATAAGTATATATATATACACATATATATATAAAACCCACTTCAACATTTTCAGGTGGAAGAGACTGCAGAAGGGAAAAAAAAACCAAAACACCTTTGACATGAGAATATTTCCAGAAACAGCAACATTTACTACTAGCGACTATTTAAAACTCATTACATTGGTATAAATATACCAGCCCCGCTTCCCAAACAGTGCTGAAGTGTAACAAAGGTGCTTTATATGCTGAACACCTCCATACTTCAATATTTCTTTAGTTAGCTTATTTGCATACTGAAAGTTAAAGAAATAGAGAGCTTTATTCTGAAACAGGCATATGAAACTAGATTATCTGCATAGTTAAGGTGTACTCAAACGTGTACAGATAACCAGTCACATAAGTCCCAACTCTCCACAGCTGGAAGTTTTTTCAATGCATAGAACTGGAAATGATAGGAGCTTGGGCTTTCTGATCACTTTTATTCAAGAGAATATATTTTTTTAAGTTAAAAGAATCTCCTACTCTCATATTACACTACATCATTATCAAATATATCTTCCAACAAAACTTTAAATAAGTAATTCAGGCTTTTCTGAAAATGAAGGGTTTTTTAGTCAGTTTGGAAATAATCTGATACAATGTTAAAAATGAAAAGGAGGCTAAAGGATCCTTGTCCATAGGAGAAAATGCTAACGTGCCATGGCTTTTAACGGGGCTGTCAGTCAGTTCTAGACTGAAAGAGGAGTAGTCATGATTTTCACTCCATCACAGCAGAAACAGTGAAGGATATATTTTATTCTAGAAAAAGCAACATGTGAATCTACAGGTCTTACAGAAAAGTCCTTTTTTTTTTTTTTTTTTTTTTTTTAAGGGAAAACTTCCCCTAAGAAAGAAAAATCATCTTTTATTTAGTTTAAAATGCAAAATTGCCCTTTAAAGACAGAGCTACACAGGTTTTACAAATGTTCTTCTGATGGGGTGTTTGTGCTTTCCAGAAAGGAAGGTTCACATTGTTGATCCTTGAATTACCACTATAAGTGTTTCGGTAAGAATTTTGTTCAAACTTTTAATGAAAAATCTGTTCCACCTTAGTGAGAAAAAGCAAATCATCACGTTCAACCTGCAAACTTTGCCTCAGGAAATGATCCCTGAGTTTCAAGGACTCAGCTTTCATCATCTTTCTGTAACTTCTTGATAAATTATTCGTAGTGAAAGCACACTTCTACTCATTTGAACGTAGTAGTTAATCTGTGCTTAATTTCATGCTGAAATACACTGTCACTATACTTTTGTCTCAATTTAAACTACATTGTAAGATCATCTCGTTAAACTATTCAAATGCACTAAAAATATAACAATCAATTTAGCACCCACTGCTGATCAGGTAAGAATAGCATTACAGCTATATTGCATATTAGCTAAATAATATGTATTTTACAAGAAATGATCAACAATCAAAAACAGTTGTTGCCATACCAATGCCATGGAATTTATAGGAATTGTTGGGGGGGAAAAAAAAAAAAAAAGCACGGTATTTTGTTCCAGTAAACTTGGATGACTAAAGATCTTTTTGCAGTGTTGCAGGCACTACCAAAATATAACTGCTTGACAGGAGAAGTTGTAGGCTCGTTCAGAGATGGAGTAAAAGAAACTTCAGTAAAAACTGGTTTGGGTATTTTGCCCAACCACCTAAAACACTAGTAAATATTTTACACACATTTCAATTTAATTATTGCTGTTAACAGGAAGAACACGTATAAATCTTTTGGAAATGGTGTGTTTTACTTCCATGACACTTACTTACTGAGGAGCTGAGAATTATTTTCTGGCCCTCCCTGTTGTCCAGCGATTTCAATTTTAGCACTTATTTAAGTATTTAATAATATGAGAGCAATCAACTCATCTAATGGGCTCCAATGACATTTAAGAACTAAATAATGCAGAGT